TATAATATATATATATATATATATATATATATATATATATATATATATATATATATATATATATATATATATATATATATATATATATATATATATATATATATATATATATGAGACAAATGATGTCATCCCGTTTTCAGAAATATTAAATGGTGTGACGTCATCAGGATTGCATCTTATTTTGCAGAGTTAATTAAAGCTGCAATAATGTATCCCTCTCCGATATTTTTATCTGATGTTCAGGAGAGGGTTACAATTCCACAGAATCTCCATAATGGTACAAATATATATATATATATATATATATATATATATATATATATATATATATATATATATATATATATATATATATATATATATATATATATATATATATATATATATATATATATATATATAATACGGGAGACAAAATAAATTGCTTTCGCATCCAAATTCCTACAAATATAAATGATTCTTTATTTATTACTAACAACCTATTCCTTTGTACGCTAAAACAAGGTAAAATAAATGTGCGTGGTTACCAATCCTCTTCCTTAGCTGCTATGAAAATTCTCGCGTGAAGTACTGAGACTTGCACTTGAAATTTAGAAAAGCTTAATAAAGTAAATGTTGGAGTTGATAAATGCTTAAAATGTATGATATCACATTATTTCGATGAATAAATGCATTCCATACGAAATATTTTTCATAAACAGTGATATTTATTTGTGCTTAAAACATGGAAATTCCTAAATAGACCCATTCCCTATATTAAGATCCCGAATTTTCATTGGCTGACCCAAAATATAATCCATGAAGGTCAATAAACATGATGGATAAATTCAAGATGTGATGTTAAAATAAACGAAAAATAACCTATATATAGATTATTCTGTATATTTTTGGATAATTCATGTCTTACATTGCTACATTTTTTGAGTTCAGGTATTAAGTAATATTAACAATACAGCCATTTATTGATGATTTAAGTCATAAGAATCACACAATTTGCACCATTACAGAGATCCTATGCAGTTGTAGCCCTCTCCAAAAATAAATAAATAAATAAGTAAATAAATAATAATAATAATAATAATAATATTAATAATAATAATAATAATCGGAGAGGGCTAGATTATTGCAGCTACATTATTTTATCCCAAATGCATTCACAATTCATAACTTTTTAATAATTATTCTTTTTCTTTTTTACCTGGTTGTAATGCAAAGATATATACTGTCAAAACTATTAAGGGGAGATGCATACGATTTTCCCCATCCATCACCTCTTTCCTTTTCATACGGGACAGTACACAGATTGCAATGCATTTAAGAGTTGATTTAGTGGGTGGGACATAAATTATGGAAAACAATGACAAGAAGACTAAACTTCTTTTTTCCAGGTCATTCATATCATCCACATAATACCCGCTTAATTTGAAAATACAATAAAACCCAATACTTTTCACTTAAATAACAATTCATGAAACAAAAAGAAAGGTTTGATAACTTTACTGTTACATGCGTTATTGTATTTGTGAGTATGCTGCCCAGAAAATCTTGAATCAAAAGTTTAAGATCCCAACAACTCATTGAAAGGAGAGTAGAGATTTAAATACTAATATGCTTGCTGGATTCAACAGTCATTCTGGAAATTCAGAATTAAGTTTGCATATTAAATATAACTTCTTCATTTCAAGAAATTTAATTTCAATTTGTAATTTCTTAAATTTCCTCTTCTTTACTAATTTCTTTTGTTCTATCCCAAGCTTCTTTGTTTCGTGAATACCTTTCTCATTTTCCAGTTTCAGATTTTAAATTTCCAGTTCCCCAAGAATTTCCCTATACGCCATCTTTTTCTTCTTTTTTTCCACATAGAACGTCTCTCTGTGTATAAAAACACTATAAGAATATTTTTTTTTCTTTACCATCTAGTTATTTTATCTTTGTATTTACATTTCTTGAAATAAACCCATCATCCAAAATAATTAATTTACCATTACATGAACTACAGGCATTGGCGCACGCACCTGCCTCATCAAACATGACGCCCATCAATACTGTCGAAGCGGAACTTTGACAAATGCCTTGTTGTTGGTTGGAACGTATGAATGGTTCTACAAGTCGAATTAGAATTATGAAAACTTTTTTCCCATCACAAAAACAAAAATGACAAGGTCATAGAAAAGAAGAAAAAGTAAATATAACTTTTTGCTATTTTGATATCTGATGCTCCAGGAAAACGTAAGAACCGGCGCGATTATGAAAAGAGATTTCACCGCCCCAAATTAAACTGAACTCGATTTTCGATACTTGTAAATCAAATTAAATGTCAAGCTTATAACTTATTAACAGCACAATGCCTTTAGTTCTCACGAATATCACTTAAAAGAAAATATCATTCCACATTTCAATACAGATCTCACGATACTTGAAAATGCACGAAATCGAAAAAAAATAAAATAAAAAAAAAAAAATAAAATAAAATAAAAAATAAACCTCGACAGTTTGATAAAATGTTTTCACCAGACACTTAATATTTCACAGAAACAATAAAAGGGATTTAGTAAGTACTAGAATCATTATACTGCTGATAAGATGTGAGCTAAAAACTTTTCACATTTTCGACTTCTTTTAAAGAACACCACTGGGTAAATTTCTTGCCACAAAGCATCCTTGGGTGAAGGGGCTTTAAGTTTTTTTCACAGAAGGTGCCACATCCTCTTTCAAGAGGAGATGATTATGAATTCTGAAAATGTGGTGGCATCTTTAAAAAATCTTCTCAAGAACCACTGGGAAATGTATGATAAAACTTGCTTGTGTGCTTCCTGTAACGAAAGTTGAAAATACAAACATGTCATATTAATCTTGGCAAATATGATATATTTTATTAACAAAACAGACTCTGATCACAAAGCTAGTTCACGGTTCAGAATGGCTCAACATCACTCTATTGGTGTAACATAAAAATGGTTTGCTCAATTACAACAAATGTTATAATAATCTTTCTGTGACCTTTTAAAAATTATGATAAATAACTGAAAATGAAGAGTAAATTGGTCAATTGTGTTTTTTTTAATGCAGGAAATCAAAAACTATGCTTAGAGCAAGATTCCCATGGGTCACAATGCTCACCTGAGTAAATATGGCCCTTCTTATTTTTCATCAGGAGGTTCTTTTTCCTATATCTATATACTGAAACATTGATGGCCCATTATCACGATTTGAAAAAAAAAAAAAATGAATCTAGCAATCTGAAGATACTTCTTTATCAAAACGACTAATTATGGGCTCTGTTTATGCTTTCCAATTCATGGAGTTGACGTTGAGCCCAATATGCATTTTTCTATTACCCCTATTATATTATACCCCTCTAAGTGTATACATAAAGAATTTATCTTGTAGATGATTTTTCAATAACGTTCATTTTCTTTGAGCGATGCAAACCGTTCAGAAACAATTGTTTACATTGTGACGTCGTGTGAAGTCAGTTATTAGGTTCCTTGCGATGTCAAAATAGAGATGGATATTTGTCATTAGGACATATGGAGGGGGTAACTTGATTTCTTGTCACTTGGTCACGTGGAGGAGGTAAAATATGATACCATGTCAGTATGCGGCATGATATGGTTCTATACATTTTAAATATAGCAAAATTTGGAAAGTAAAGACATCAAAAGAAAATTTGTATTTCAATTATTCACAAATTATTAGAAAATATATAGAGTAATATCTATGGAATCCGGATAGGGCCATGCAGTTCACTATCGCATCATCGCACCATCGAGGTTTGAGTCGATAGTGCGATGACGCGATAATGCGATGACGATGAAGCGATGGTGCGATAACGATGAAGCGATGGTGCGATAGCGCGATGGCGATGATGCGATGGCACGACAATGCGATGACGATGATGCGATGGTACGATGAAGCGATAGCGCGATGACGCGATGGCACGATAGCGATGATGCGATGGTGCGATAGCGATGATGCGATGGCGCGATAGTGATGACGCGATGCTATATCGTGACATCGTTATTGCTTTATCGCACTATCGTCATCGTGTCATCGCACTATCGCTCTATCGAATAGTACTTTCTATAACCGGATAACATTCCCAGCAGTCATTGCACAACATGGCGTTTGTTGACGAAAAGATTCAAGAATATTTCTTCAACGGATACGATAATAAAGAAATCATATTCCTTCTTTGGAGTAATTATGGTGTGAAAATAAGGTAGGTATTATTAATTGTCAGAAGTTATGATAATATAAGTACCTGTATAGGCTAATATTTTCTCTAAGAGTAATAAAGGTACTATACATTAAATTTGTAGTCTCATTCAAAGATTGTTTATATGCGTGTTCTACTTGTATGTATATATCTGTTATTTAGTGATTGAAGTTGAAATCTCCCATTTTAAGATACAGTATATTTTATGCACTATTTTTTAAAATAATTAAGCTGTAGACATTTGAAAAGACGCATGACCAGACTTAATTTGAGAAGACGGAGATCATACAATGTGGATATGGCAATAAGGGCTATTCAGGTAATATTGCTTGTGTTTTATTTCATCTTTCTTTTTTGATAGATTGATCAAATCTAGAAAAATCGTCATTAACATCTACATTTTGATGATAGCTCATTATTTTTAGTTAACTCATACAAATGTTAAAAATTTCATATGATTTACATATATTCTACTCAAAGGAAGAAATGATGTTCAGTGGACAGACTCTTGGGTGTCGTTCGATGAAACGAAGGCTTCTTCAGAAACATGGCATCTTTATAGGAAGGTATATTATCTTATTATGATTAATAAAGAGAATTCAAACGATGTGCCTATTGCTTATAATGAGTTTTATATAAATAAGATATTTATAATAATTTCATTGAATTTATTTTTTTTGTTATTGAATTTAAAATGGTTGATGATTAATTATATATATATACTGTTCCAGGGATAACGTGTTTATTGAGAATAATCGATCCTGATGGAGTTGATCTAATAGCAAGTCACTGCTTGACAAGAAGAATGTATCTAAGCAATGGACCAAATTATCTTGCACATGTTGATGGGTACGACAAGTTGAAGCCATTTGGCTTCGCTATACATGGTGCAATGTGTGGGTAAGTTAATTTGCATCAGTTTTTAGTGTTCATTTGAGTCATGTAAGATTACAAGAATTTATGAAGTTATAGAATTTATGATTGTTATATACTGTTGTAGCTACATATCAGAAAACAATATCAACTATTAATCTAAATGATCAAATTCCTATCCTTTCAGATTTTCAAGACGAATACTGTGGCTTAAAGTTGCAAAAACAAACAATGACTCTTTTGTTGTAGCATCATATTTCTTGAAATACCTGGAGGAAATAAATAGTTGAGTATATAATTTTTACAAATCAATGATAAATATATTCCTGAAACTGTAAATGCAGTTTAATTTTCACAAGTTAATTTTCTACTAAGTAACATTCTAAATACATTATTTTGTATTGATACAGAATAAATACACATAAAATGCATTATTTTGTAAAAAATATTTACTTGAACAAAGAAACCATATTTGTCTCAGTTCATGGTAGTATGAGTTTTCCAATACATAGGTGCTCCAAGGTGTGTGAGACTTGATGCTGGAACTGAGAATATATACATTGAGGGCATTCAAAAATCCTTCCGTTGGTACGATAATGATGACATGTGTGGAGAAAAGAGTTTATCAAAGGAAGATCAATGTCTAACCAGGTATGAATATGAGATTGTTTTTTAAATAACAATATGATTTAGTAACTTGTGTTGTAAAAACAAATCAGATGAGTTTAATAACCTTCTAAAATCTGCACACCTAGGACTGAGTTCCAATTCCAGTTAACACTCCTGCAGTAGAAGTTAGAGTAATTTGCCCTTTGATTTGAAAATTGGGGGGGGGGGGGACTTGATCAAATCTGAATGGTCTACTACTCCAATCACAGTCAATTCAGTTAGTCCCAACTTAAGGACATACATAACGTAGTTTGAACTTTATTGTCTATTTCCCTGGAGTTGAAGAGTTACAATACTTAAAAGAACTGTGTGCTAAACTTTAATGTCCATATTTTCTGTTGTACACTTCTTCTTCAACAATTTTGGGTAAACAAAACATTTAGAATATATGTTTAGTTATTTTTGTATATTTTTCTTTGCATTATACAAGAATTTTCATCATTTGATATCTTTTTAAAACCCCTGGTAATGCATGCTAATTTTTTGTCTATGAACATCTGATGACACTATAATCTTAAATTAAGAATATCTTGAAAAATTATCAGTAGGTAAGGTATGTTGCGTATGTCCTTAATATAAGATCAAATAACTGAAGTAATTGAATACTTTAAAAATTTGTATGTGTAATCCTCATTTAAGTTTCTTTTCAAACTCTCTATTTTTCTGAACATTTTTCCTGAGGGAAAATAGATCAACTGATTATTTTCACTATTACTTTTCAAAGACCAAAATAATTCTTCATATTATTATCTTTCATAGGCGTCATTGTGTAATCTGATACCACAGATAATTTTAGAAATAATAAGTTTTGCAAATTTCATACTTTCATTATTTGCATCCGTTTCATTTAATAGAGTTCAAGGTGACACAGTTCTTTTTATAGTATTAGTTATACTACAGAGCCATCCGGGGGGGGGGGGGGGGGAGATGCAATTGCAACCCCTGAAAACACCAATATTTTGTTTAAAGTTTTGCTATTTATTTGTTTATTTCATATTTGAAAAAAATGACCCCCAGAATGCAACAGACTTGTATGCATTTTTATTATAAATTTTCTGACCCAGGGGAGGGATAACCCTCCCATACCCCTCTCCATACCCCTTTCTAGAAACCTGTTGTCAAATATTTGAAAATGAAGTCAGTTTAATGATTTAAAATATCTCTGCACATAATTTGATATACATATTATTGTTTCTGTATCATTATGAAATTAATATATGACTAATTTATGTGATTGTTTTATGCCCCTATGATTAAAGATTCGGGGTCCTTATCCATATAGCTTTGGGTCTGTCTGTATTTTTATCTGCAAAGACTTTAATGCACCAACATTTTTTGACCTAATGACCTTGACCATAGGGTTCGACCTACTTATGAAAAAACTTTAATTTTGGACATAACTTCTGAATGGTTGATGTTAGAGATTTCGTATTTCTCAAGTGTATTTCTTGTAAAAAAAAATCTGTCTTGGAGTTTAACCTACTTTTGTAAAACTTTGACCTTGGCCATAACTTTGAACGGTTGATCCTAGGGAAGTTGTGTATTTCTTGTGAATGTACCAACATTTGTACTCAATAACCTTGAAGTTTGACCTACTTTTGAAAAATCAGCCTTCAGTTTTTCAAAAACACATTTTGATTTAAGAGAAATGAACGCTGGTGGAGAACACTGAGAGAGATGGGCATCTCCTTCTGGATAGACTTGTTCAAAGACATGGAAGACCAAGGGATGTTCTCATCAGCAAATAACGAGCACATGTAAGAAGAGAAATAAATTCTTTATTTATACTTTAAAAAATTAAGAATTTACGCATTTATAACCTATTATGATATTTCTGCATGTTACCTAAATCCTTATGACTAAGACTAAACCAACCATTTATAAGTGTTTTTCTAATTAAAGAAATATTAAGAAATATAAACATTTTTTACAGGAAAAATTTCACCCTGATTTTTTTTCTTGTTTTCAAAATTGACCTTTAAAATTTACCAATTTAGAGAATGCCTTCGCTTCTGTTTTATGAAAATCATCCAACAAGAACTTGATCAAATAAAAACAGAATGGAATAACCATTACATCAGAGCACAAAGACGCTATGATGATGATGGAAATCTCCCAGGAAAACCAGAAATGATGTTTTTCCACCCTGAAATTTTTGGTATTTTTCCTAGCAAAGATTTGTCTAATCACTAACTTTAATTTGAATATTTTTCTGTGTTTACCTTTCTCCTTCGATACCTTGGTTGTTTTTCAGTACTCAAATTTAAAACAGTATCAACACATCATGACTTCATTTTTTTATGTACAGGTGCAGTAGATTATAAATTTCCAGTGGATATTCATGACGTGCTAGAGTTTCAAAGACTATTTCCTAGTCCAAGCTCGACAGGATGTTGGGAGGACTATGCAGCATACTTTGATCATTTGCTTTTGGAGGGTGGGAGAATTGTTCCAAACACCACTGAGAAGGCCATGGAGGCTTTGAAGTACTTGGTTGAAAAGTTGTAAAATCCAAATTAAGATTAGAGAATAAATCATCACCTGATGTTTCACTTGACTTTTTTTTCAATTTTCATGAAAAATATTGTACACTAATCATCAAAGTGTATGAATTAAAAGTCACAAACAGAAATTATTACTATGTTTATTGGGTCACCATACATGCCACATTCATTAGAACAACTATTAATGAAAATTGCAAAATGAGGATATAAGGAAAGCAAACTGCTCTGAGAAAAACTTTTTTGGCATACAGATGCAACAATCTAGAATTTAAAATTCAAAAGCATGCTTACTACCACAAATACACCAAATATCAATTAATATTCCCATACAAAAAAGTCTTTTTGTATTATCTTTCCCTGAAGAAATACTCCTCATATGATTATCAATGTCCTTTAGTATTATCTTTCCCTTAAGAAATACTCTTATTCGTTAATATGACTATCATTGCCATTATTGAGTTTAAAAATTAATTGAATGAAAACTTTCAAAACATAGATATAGCATTGAATACATAAAGTTATTTTCTTAAGCAAGATGGAATCCCCCCCCCCCCCCCAAGTGATTGCCAACTACATTTTTCTGTGAAATTCCTCAGGGGGTTCTCCCCTAGATATTTCCAACAAAAGATCGCAGGTATGTGCACTTGGCAAACAGACAGGGTCTTCCACAAATTTAATTTCAAGCTTTTTGTGAAATCCTAGTGGAGGGATTGTTTCAGCTCCAGTCCAAAACGCCAAGAGCATGTTTAGATTAATTTTAGATGTACCTTCTGAAAGAAAAGGAAAATAAAGAGATGAGTTAGAAATACATGTCAAGTAGTATAGAAGTTGCAAATTTTGACTAAGAAAAGCATTATTGCCTCTTAAGGTCAACTTGCATTTACGTGTACCTTACCAACTATTTTCCAGGATATTCCTAATTTAAAATTATAGAGTCTCATCAGGTGTTTTAAGACAAAAAAAAACAGCATACATTACCAGGAGTTTTCAAAAGATGTAATATGATGAAAATCATTGTATTTTCTCAAAGAAAAAAATAACAAAAATATAGTGTTAGCTTGTATTTCCTCAACATTTGCTTCAGAGGAGGTAACGGCATTTACAGGCATCATTAAATTGTACAAAGGTTTTTCAATTATTGAACTCTTAATTAAATCAACAAGGGAATAAGAAAATAAAATTCCAACACTATGTTGTGTATGTCCTTAAGCTCATAAAAGTAATATCAGCAAATATTCTGTACAATTGGCATTCTGGTGAATTAAAGAAATAAAATTAATACTTTGAACAAGAAACCTGAATTCTGTTTATTAATCATAATAAGATAATATACCTTCCTATAAAGATGCCATGTTTCTGAAGAAGTCTTCGTTTCATCGAACGACACCCAAGAATCTGTCCACTGAACATCATTTCTTCCTTTGAGTAGAATATATGTAAATCATATGAAATTTTTAACATTTGTATGAGTTAACTAAAAATAATGAGCTATCATCAAAATGTAGATGATACTGACGATTTTTCTAGATTTGATCAATCTATCAAAAAAGAAAGATGAAATAAAACACAAGCAATATAACCTGAATAGCTCTTATTGCCATATCCACATTGTATGATCTTCGTCTTCTCAAATTAAGTCTGGTCATGCGCCTTTTCAAATGTCTACAGCTTAATTATTTTAAAAAATAATGCATAAAATATATCTTAAAATGGGAGATTTCAACTTCAATCACTATTTCTTAAATAACAGATATATACATACAAGTAGAACACGCACATAAACAATCTTTGAATGAGACTATAAATTTAATGTATAGTAACTTTATTACTCTTAGAGAAAATATTAACCTATACAGGTACTTATATTATCATAACTTCTGACAATTAATAATACCTACCTTATTTTCACACCATAATTACTCCAAAGAAGGAATATGATTTCTTTATTATCTTTTCGTCAACAAACGCCATGTTGTGCAATGACTGCTGGGAATGTTATCCGGTTATAGAAAGTACTAGTCGATAGAGCGATGGTGCGATGACACGATGACGATAATGCGATAAAGCAATTACGATGACACGATATAGCATCGCGTCATCACTATCGCGCCATCGCATCATCGCTATCGCACCATCGCATAATCGCTATCGTGCCATCGCGTCATCGCGCTATCGCTTCATCGTACCATCGCATCATCGTCATCGCATTGTCGTGCCATCGCATCATCGCCATCGCGCTATCGCACCATCGCTTCATCGTTATCGCACCATCGCTTCATCGTCATCGCATTATCGCGTCATCTCACTATCGACCCAAACCTCGATAGTGCGATGATGCGATAGTGAACTGCATGGCCCTATCCGGATTCCATAAATATCCGATATATGCTGTGCAATGCATTTCTTTAGACAGTTTAGTGTCATCAACAAACCTGTGGAATATATGGAATCCGGATAGGGCCATGCAGTTCACTATCGCATCATCGCACCATCGAGGTTTGAGTCGATAGTGCGATGACGCGATAATGCGATGACGATGAAGCGATGGTGCGATAACGATGAAGCGATGGTGCGATAGCGCGATGGCGATGATGCGATGGCACGACAATGCGATGACGATGATGCGATGGTACGATGAAGCGATAGCGCGATGACGCGATGGCACGATAGCGATGATGCGATGGTGCGATAGCGATGATGCGATGGCACGATAGCGATGACGCGATGCTATATCGTGACATCGTTATTGCTTTATCGCACTATCGTCATCGTGTCATCGCACTATCGCTCTATCGAATAGTACTTTCTATAACCGGATAACATTCCTAGCAGTCATTGCACAACATGGCGTTTGTTGATGAAAAGATTCAAGAATATTTCTTCAACGGATACGATAATAAAGAAATCATATTCCTTCTTTGGAGTAATTATGGTGTGAAAATAAGGTAGGTATTATTAATTGTCAGAAGTTATGATAATATAAGTGCCTGTATAGGCTAATATTTTCTCTAAGAGTAATAAAGGTACTATACATTAAATTTGTAGTCTCATTCAAAGATTGTTTATATGCGTGTTCTACTTGTATGTATATATCTGTTATTTAGTGATTGAAGTTAAAATCTCCCATTTTAAGATACAGTATATTTTATGCATTATTTTTTAAAATAATTAAGCTGTAGACATTTGAAAAGACGCATGACCAGACTTAATTTGAGAAGACGGAGATCATACAATGTGGATATGGCAATAAGGGCTATTCAGGTAATATTGCTTGTGTTTTATTTCATCTTTCTTTTTTGATAGATTGATCAAATCTAGAAAAATCGTCAGTAACATCTACATTTTGATGATAGCTCATTATTTTTAGTTAACTCATACAAATGTTAAAAATTTCATATGATTTACATATATTCTACTCAAAGGAAGAAATGATGTTCAGTGGACAGACTCTTGGGTGTCGTTCGATGAAACGAAGGCTTCTTCAGAAACATGGCATCTTTATAGGAAGGTATATTATCTTATTATGATTAATAAAGAGAATTCAAACGATGTGCCTATTGCTTATAATGAGTTTTATATAAATAAGATATTTATAATAATTTCATTGAATTTATTTTTTTTGTTATTGAATTTAAAATGGTTGATGATTAATTATATATATATACTGTTCCAGGGATAACGTGTTTATTGAGAATAATCGATCCTGATGGAGTTGATCTAAGAGCAAGTCACTGCTTGACAAGAAGAATGTATCTAAGCAATGGACCAAATTATCTTGCACATGTTGATGGGTACGACAAGTTGAAGCCATTTGGCTTCGCTATACATGGTGCAATGTGTGGGTAAGTTAATGTGCATCAGTTTTTAGTGTTCATTTGAGTCATGTAAGATTACAAGAATTTATGAAGTTATAGAATTTATGATTGTTATATACTGTTGTAGCTACATATCAGAAAACAATATCAACTATTAATCTAAATGATCAAATTCCTATCCTTTCAGATTTTCAAGACGAATACTGTGGCTTAAAGTTGCAAAAACAAACAATGACTCTTTTGTTGTAGCATCATATTTCTTGAATACCTGGAGGAAATAAATAGTTGAGTATATAATTTTTACAAATCAATGATAAATATATTCCTGAAACTGTAAATGCAGTTTAATTTTCACAAGTTAATTTTCTACTAAGTAACATTCTAAATACATTATTTTGTATTGATACAGAATAAATACACATAAAATGCATTATTTTGTAAAAAATATTTACTTGAACAAAGAAACCATATTTGTCTCAGTTCATGGTAGTATGAGTTTTCCAATACATAGGTGCTCCAAGGTGTTTGAGACTTGATGCTGGAACTGAGAATATATACATTGAGGGCAGTCAAAAATCCTTCCGTTGGTACGATAATGATGACATGTGTAGAGAAAAGAGTTTATCAAAGGAAGATCAATGTCTAACCAGGTATGAATATGAAGTTGTTTTTTAAATAACAATATGATTTAGTAACTTATGTTGTAAAAACAAATCAGATGAGTTTAATAACCTTCTAAAATCTGCACACCTAGGACTGAGTTCCAATTCCAGTTAACACTCCTGCAGTAGAAGTTAGAGTAATTTGCCCTTTGAATTGAAAATTGGGGGGGGGGGGGGACTTGATCAAATCTGAATGGTCTACTACTCCAATCACAGTCAATTCAGTTAGTCCCAACTTAAGGACATACATAACGTAGTTTGAACTTTATTGTCTATTTCCCTGGAGTTGAAGAGTTACAATACTTAAAAGAACTGTGTGCTAAACTTTAATGTCCATATTTTCTGTTGTACACTTCTTCTTCAACAATTTTGGGTAAACAAAACATTTAGAATATATGTTTAGTTATTTTTGTATATTTTTCTTTGCATTATACAAGAATTTTCATCATTTGATATCTTTTTAAAACCCCTGGTAATGCATGCTAATTTTTTGTCTATGAACATCTGATGACACTATAATCTTAAATTAAGAATATCTTGAAAAATTATCAGTAGGTAAGGTATGTTGCGTATGTCCTTAATATAAGATCAAATAACTGAAGTAATTGAATACTTTAAAAATTTGTATGTGTAATCCTCATTTAAGTTTCTTTTCAAACTCTCTATTTTTCTGAACATTTTTCCTGAGGGAAAATAGATCAACTGATTATTTTCACTATTACTTTTCAAAGACCAAAATAATTCTTCATATTATTATCTTTCATAGGCGTCATTGTGTAATCTGATACCACAGATAATTTTAGAAATAATAAGTTTTGCAAATTTCATACTTTCATTATTTGCATCCGTTTCATTTAATAGAGTTCAAGGTGACACAGTTCTTTTTATAGTATTAGTTATACTACAGAGCCATCCGGGGGGGGGGGGATGCAATTGCAACCCCTGAAAACACCAATATTTTGTTTAAAGTTTTGCTATTTATTTGTTTATTTCATATTTGAAAAAAATGACTCCCAGAATGCAACAGACTTGTATGCATTTTTATTATAAATTTTCTGACCCAGGGGAGGGATAACCCTCCCATACCCCTCTCCATACCCCTTTCTAGAAACCTGTTGTCAAATATTTGAAAATGAAGTCAGTTTAATGATTTAAAATATCTCTGCACATAATTTGATATACATATTATTGTTTCTGTATCATTATGAAATTAATATATGACTAATTTATGTGATTGTTTTATGCCCCTATGATTAAAGATTCGGGGTCCTTATCCATATAGCTTTGGGTCTGTCTGTATTTTTATCTGCAAAGACTTTAATGCACCAACATTTTTTGACCTAATGACCTTGACCATAGGGTTCGACCTACTTATGAAAAAACTTTAATTTTGGACATAACTTCTGAATGGTTGATGTTAGAGATTTCGTATTTCTCAAGTGTATTTCTTGTAAAAAAAAAATCTGTCTTGGAGTTTAACCTACTTTTGTAAAACTTTGACCTTGGCCATAACTTTGAACGGTTGATCCTAGGGAAGTTGTGTATTTCTTGTGAATGTACCAACATTTGTACTCAATAACCTTGAAGTTTGACCTACTTTTGAAAAATCAGCCTTCAGTTTTTCAAAAACACATTTTGATTTAAGAGAAATGAACGCTGGTGGAGAACACTGAGAGAGATGGGCATCTCCTTCTGGATAGACTTGTTCAAAGACATGGAAGACCAAGGGATGTTCTCATCAGCAAATAACGAGCACATGTAAGAAGAGAAATAAATTCTTTATTTATACTTTAAAAAATTAAGAATTTACGCATTTATAACCTATTATGATATTTCTGCATGTTACCTAAATCCTTATGACTAAGACTAAACCAACCATTTATAAGTGTTTTTCTAATTAAAGAAATATTAAGAAATATAAACATTTTTTACAGGAAAAATTTCACCCTGATTTTTTTTCTTGTTTTCAAAATTGACCTTTAAAATTTACCAATTTAGAGAATGCCTTCGCTTCTGTTTTATGAAAATCATCCAACAAGAACTTGATCAATTAAAAACAGAATGGAATAACCATTACATCAGAGCACAAAGACGCTATGGTGATGATGGAAATCTCCCAGGAAAACCAGAAATGATGTTTTTCCACCCTGAAATTTTTGGTATTTTTCCTAGCAAAGATTTGTCTAATCACTAACTTTAATTTGAATATTTTTCTGTGTTTACCTTTCTCCTTCGATACCTTGGTTGTTTTTCAGTACTCAAATTTAAAACAGTATCAACACATCATGACTTCATTTTTTTATGTACAGGTGCAGTAGATTATAAATTTCCAGTGGATATTCATGACGTGCTAGAGTTTCAAAGACTATTTCCTAGTCCAAGCTCGACAGGATGTTGGGAGGACTATGCAGCATACTTTGATCATTTGCTTTTGGAGGGTGGGAGAATTGTTCCAAACACCACTGAGAAGGCCATGGAGGCTTTGAAGTACTTGGTTGAAAAGTTGTAAAATCCAAATTAAGATTAGAGAATAAATCATCACCTGATGTTTCACTTGACTTTTTTTTCAATTTTCATGAAAAATATTGTACACTAATCATCAAAGTGTATGAATTAAAAGTCACAAACAGAAATTATTACTATGTTTATTGGGTCACCATACATGCCACATTCATTAGAACAACTATTAATGAAAATTGCAAAATGAGGATATAAGGAAAGCAAACTGCTCTGAGAAAAACTTTTTTGGCATACAGATGCAACAATCTAGAATTTAAAATTCAAAAGCATGCTTACTACCACAAATACACCAAATATCAATTAATATTCCCATACAAAAAAGTCTTTTCGTATTATCTTTCCCTGAATAAATACTCCTCATATGATTATCAATGTCCTTTAGTATTATCTTTCCCTTAAGAAATACTCTTATTCGTTAATATGACTATCATTGCCATTATTGAGTTGAAAAATTAATTGAATGAAAACTTTCAAAACATAGATATAGCATTGAATACATAAAGTTATTTTCTTAAGCAAGATGGAATCCCCCCCCCCCCAAGTGATTGCCAACTACATTTTTCTGTGAAATTCCTCAGGGGGTTCTCCCCTAGATATTTCCAACAAAAGATCGCAGGTATGTGCACTTGGCAAACAGGCAGGGTCTTCCACAAATTTAATTTCAAGCTTTTTGTGAAATCCTAGTGGAGGGATTGTTTCAGCTCCAGTCCAAAACGCCAAGAGCATGTTTAGATTAATTTTAGATGTACCTTCTGAAAGAAAAGGAAAATAAAGAGATGAGTTAGAAATACATGTCAAGTAGTATAGAAGTTGCAAATTTTGACTAAGAAAAGCATTATTGCCTCTTAAGGTCAACTTGCATTTACGTGTACCTTACCAACTATTTTCCAGGATATTCCTAATTCAAAATTATAGAGTCTCATCAGGTGTTTTAAGACAAAGAAAAAAACAGCATACATTACCAGGAGTTTTCAAAAGATGTAATATGATGAAAATCATTGTATTTTCTCAAAGAAAAAAATAACAAAAATATAGTGTTAGCTTGTATTTCCTCAACATTTGCTTCAGAGGAGGTAACGGCATTTACAGGCATCATTAAATTGTACAAAGGTTTTTCAATTATTGAACTCTTAATTAAATCAACAAGGGAATAAGAAAATAAAATTCCAACACTATGTTGTGTATGTCCTTAAGCTCATAAAAGTAATATCAGCAAATATTCTGTACAATTGGCATTCTGGTGAATTAAAGAAATAAAATTAATACTTTGAACAAGAAACCTGAATTCTGTTTATTAATCATAATAAGATAATATACCTTCCTATAAAGATGCCATGTTTCTGAAGAAGTCTTCGTTTCATCGAACGACACCCAAGAATCTGTCCACTGAACATCATTTCTTCCTTTGAGTAGAATATATGTAAATCATATGAAATTTTTAACATTTGTATGAGTTAACTAAAAATAATGAGCTATCATCAAAATGTAGATGATACTGACGATTTTTCTAGATTTGATCAATCTATCAAAAAAGAAAGATGAAATAAAACACAAGCAATATAACCTGAATAGCTCTTATTGCCATATCCACATTGTATGATCTCCGTCTTCTCAAATTAAGTCTGGTCATGCGCCTTTTCAAATGTCTACAGCTTAATTATTTTAAAAAAAAATGCATAAAATATATCTTAAAATGGGAGATTTTAACTTCAATCACTATTTCTTAAATAACAGATATATACATACAAGTAGAACAAGCACATAAACAATCTTTGAATGAGACTATAAATTTAATGTATAGTAACTTTATTACTCTTAGAGAAAATATTAGCCTATACAGGCACTTATATTATCATAACTTCTGACAATTAATAATACCTACCTTATTTTCACACCATAATTACTCCAAAGAAGGAATATGATTTCTTTATTATCTTTTCGTCAACAAACGCCATGTTGTGCAATGACTGCTGGGAATGTTATCCGGTTATAGAAAGTACTAGTCGATAGAGCGATGGTGCGATGACACGATGACGATAATGCGATAAAGCAATTACGATGACACGATATAGCATCGCGTCATCACTATCGCGCCATCGCATCATCGCTATCGCACCATCGCATCATCGCTATCGTGCCATCGCGTCATCGCGCTATCGCTTCATCGTACCATCGCATCATCGTCATCGCATTGTCGTGCCATCGCATCATCGCCATCGCGCTATCGCACCATCGCTTCATCGTTATCGCACCATCGCTTCATCGTCATCGCATTATCGCGTCATCGCACTATCGACCCAAACCTCGATAGTGCGATGATGCGATAGTGAACTGCATGGCCTTATCCGGATTCCATAGGAATATGTGTTCATATTAAATTAAAAGTTTCTTCAGCGACATAGTATGGAATCCGGATAGGGCCATGCAGTTCACTATCGCATCATCGCACCATCGAGGTTTGAGTCGATAGTGCGATGACGCGATAATGCGATGACGATGAAGCGATGGTGCGATAACGATGAAGCGATGGTGCGATAGCGCGATGACGATGATGCGATGGCACGACAATGCGATGACGATGATGCGATGGTACGATGAAGCGATAGCGCGATGGCACGATAGCGATGATGCAATGGTGCGATAGCGATGATGCGATGGCGCGATAGTGATGGCGCGATGCTACATCGTGTCATCGTTATTGCTTTATCGCACTTTCGTCATCGTGTCATAGCACCATCGCTCTATCGACTAGTACTTTCTATAACCGGATAACATTCCCAGCAGTCATTGCACAACATGGCGTTTGTTGACGAAAGGATTCAAGAATATTTCTTTAACGTATACGATAATAAAGAAATCATATTCCTTCTTTGGAGTAATTATGGTGTGAAAATAAGGTAGGTATTATTAATTGTCATAAGTTATGATAATATAAATACCTGTATAGGCTAATATTTTCTCTAAGAGTAATAAAGTTACTATACATTGAATTTATAGTCTCATTCAAAGATTGTTTACATGCGTGTTCTACTTGTATGTATATATCTGTTATTTAAGAAATAGTGATTGAGGTTAAAATCTCCCATTTTAAGATATATTTTATGAATTTTTTTTTTTTAAATAATTAAGCTGTAGACATTTGAAAAGGCGCATGACCAGACTTAATTTGAGAAGACGGAGATCATACAATGTGGATATGGCAACAAGGGCTATTCAGGTAATATTGCTTGTGTTTTATTTCATCTTTCTTTTTTGATAGATTGATCAAATCTAGAAAAATCGTCAGTAACATCTACATTTTGATGAAAGCTCATTATTTTTAATAACTCATACAAATGTTAAAATTTCATATGATTTACATATATTCTACTCAAAGGAAGAAATGATGTTCAGTGGACAGACTCTTGGGTGTCGTTCGATGAAACGAAGACTTCTTCAGAAACATAGCATCTTTATAGGAAGGTATATTATCATATTATGATTAATAAACAGAATTCAGGTTTCTTGTTCAAAGTATTAATTTTATTTCTTTAATTCAGCAGAATGCCAATTATACAGAACATTTGCTGACATTACTTTTATGAGCTTAAGGACATACACAACATAGTGTTGGAATTTTATTTTCTTATTCCCTTGTTGATTTAATTAAGAGTTCAATAATTGAAAAACCTTTGTACAATTTAATGATGCCTGTAAATGTTGTTACCTCCTCTGAAGCAAATGTTGAGGAAATACCAGCTAAAACTATATTTTTGTTATTTTTTTCTTTGAGAAAATACAATGATTTTCATCATTTGACATCTTTTGAAAACACCTGGTAATGTATGCTTTTTTTGTCTTAAAACACCTGCTGAGATTCTATAATTTTAAATTAGGAATATCCTGGAAAATAGTTGGTAAGGTACATGTAAATGCAAGTTGCATATGACCGTAAGAGGCAATAATGCTTCTCTTAGTCAAAATTTGCAATTTCTATACTACTTGACATGTATTTCTAACTCAACCCTTTAGTTTCCTTTTCTTTCAGAAGGTACATCTGAAATTAATCTAAACATGCTCTTGGCGTATTGGACTGGAGCTGACACAATCCACTAGGATTTCACAAAAAGCTTGAAATTAAATTTGTGGAAGACCCTGCCTGTTTGCCAGTTGCACATACCTGCGATCTTTTGTTGGAAATATCTAGGGGAGAACCCCCTGAGGAATTTCACAGAAAAATGTAGTTGGCAATGACTTGGGGGGGGGGGGGATTCCATCTTGCTTAAGAAAATAACTTTATGTATTCAATGCTATATCTATGTTTTGAAAGTTTTCATTCAATTAATTTTTAAACTCAATAATGGCAGTGATAGTCATATTAACGAATAAGAGTATTTCTAAAGGGAAAGATAATACTAAAGGACATTGATAATCATATGAGGAGCATTTCTTCAGGGAAAGATAATACAAAAAGACATTGATTTTTGTATGGGAATATTAATTGATATTTGGTGTATTTCTGGTAGTAAACATGCTTTTGAATTTTAAATTCTAGATTGTTGCATCTGTATGCCAAAAAAGTATTTCTCAGAGCAGTTTGCTTTCCTTATATCCTCATTTTGCAATTTTCATTAATAGTTGTTCTAATGAATATGGCATGTATGGTGACCCAATAAACATAGTAATAATTTCTGTTTGTGACTTTTAATTCATACACTTTGATGATTAGTGTACAACATTTTTCATGAAATTTGAAAAAAAGTCAAGTGAAACATTAGGTGATGATTTATTCTCTAATCTTAATTTGGATTTTACAACTTTCCAACCAAGTACTTCAAAGCCTCCATGGCCTTCTCAGTGGTGTTTGGAACAGTTCTCCCACCCTCCAAAAGCAAATGATCAAAGTATGCTGCATTGTCCTCACAACATCCTGTCGAGCTTGGACTAGGAAATAATCTTTGAAACTCTAGCACGTCATGAATATCCACTGGAAATTTATAATCTACTGCACCTGTACATAAAAAAAAAATGAAGTCATAATGTGTTGA